TCGTATGCAGCCAGGAACTTAGAATATGAACCAATTGATTAAGTTAAGTTCAGATTATATAGCTGTGTAAGATGGGCCCTATATTAGTGATCAATATCTATAAGAAGAGGGAGATTTGGACACAGAGAGGCACAGGAAAGAAAGCCTTGTGAAGATGGAGACAGAACTCGGAGTTTGCAAGTCAAGGAACAGAAAGGCATGAAACAGATTCCCTCTCAGAGCCTCGAGAAGGAAGCAATTCTGACACCTGGATTTTGGATTTTTAGCCTCCAGAATGTGAGTGATTAAATTTCTGTTTTCAGTGGAAGCCCTAGGAAATTAATACGAGAGTAATGAGATATTCAGAGCTATGGATAGAAAATTTAAGAAATGAACCAAATGCAAATTCTGGAACTGAAAAGCACAATGGCAGGAAAAAAACTACAATAAATGGACTGAACAATAAATTAGATGCTATATAAAAAAATAAGCAAACTTTAATACAGGTAAATAGAAATTATCTACACTAAAGCAGAGGGATTTAAAAAAAAAAAACAAAACCCGAACACATTATGAGAATCAGTTACCCCTGAGATATTATCAAACTGGGGTCACATGAAATTGGGGTCACAGTAAGAGAGGGAAGAGACAAAAGGACAAGAAAATATGTGAAGAAAAAAAAAATTCCTGGAGCTCAAAACGCTGCCAGCAAGACAGACACTAAGCCATGTTCAGCTATATCATAGCCAACAGCTGAAAAACAACGATTAAAAAAAAAGTATTAGAAGTAACAAGAGGAAAAAGGCACATTCCAAAAAAGGAGAGTGATAAGAATTTCTGTTGACTTAGGGAAAAAATGCCTTTCAGAAGATAAATGAGTTACATAATTAAAGTACTGAAAGACTATCAATCTTTAATCTTGTTCTAGACTAAATTTGCTTTGAAAATTTACAAAAGTTGATAGAATGTGTTGTTGGATTACCAACTCATGAAGAATGCCAAAAGGGTAGAACTCGATGGAAATGATACTAGATTAAACTCAACTCCACAGAACGGAGTGAAAAATACTGGAAATGGCAAATGTGTGGTAAAATATAAAAGACTTACAAATTTTTTAAAAGATTGATTGATGCATACAAGAACTGCGGTGCAGGCCAGAAGTATGGGAGGAGGGAGTGAGATGATTCACTAGAGACAGAATGGGGAGCAGAACACCCAGATCTACTGAAACACACTGCTGAGGGGAGCAGGAGGCACGACAGGAGAGGTCTGCTGCACCATGTGGGTCAGCTCCCTGGCCGGGGATCGAACTCATGTTTGCAGTGACTGGCATCAGCTTGAAAGTCTTTAACCCCTGTGTCACCGGGGAGACCCTATTCTAAAATGTTTAAATGTCAATTGACTATTGAAATAAAAATTAGAGTAATTGCATATAAGGATTTCTAATATGCATAGAAGTAAAAAAATATAACAAATGTAAAAAGTATGGTAGGAGGTAAAGGGAAGCATAATGGTGTGTGTTTTTCTTTCTTTTTAAGATGTACCTATTCATACATACAGCACTGGGGTACAGGCCAGGGGGGTGGGGTGGGGTGGGGTGAGAGAGTTACCAGAGACAGAGTAGGGAGAACAGGCAGACTGACTGAAATACACTGGTGAGGGGAGCAGTGGGAGAGAGAGGAGAGGACTGCTGTGCCATGTGGGTCAACTCCAGGGCCAGGGATGCAACTCACACTGAGGTGGCTTTAGCTAGCTTGCAGTGCTGCGTCCTAACTCACTGGGCCACCAGGGAGGGCCATCCTTTCCTTTAATATTACTTTGATTTTATATAGTAACAACTTTCTTTTGATTAGTCTTTTCATGGAATACTTTTTCCTCATCTTTTTACTCTTAACCTCTCAGTATCTTAATATTTAACGTATCTTTTTTTGCACACAGCATGTGGTTGGGATTTTTTCCACCTGATAGTCTATGCTTTTTAATTACATTTAATACAATTATTTTGATGTGGATGGGTTTAAGATATATCATTTTCATTTTACATTTTTTTCATCTGTCCATTTCCCCTTCTTCCTCTCTTTTAGACCCCTTTTGGATTATTTACAATTTTATTAGCATTCTACTGATATCCTTAATTGTCTTCTTATCTGTAACTCTGCTAAGAGGTCTTTTAAATGATTACTTTAAGAATTATAATAATATAGTTTTAACCTATTACAGCCTACTTTAATATTATACCATTGAAATATAGTGTAAGAAACATACACCATTGGTTGGCGCAATGGGTTAAACACAGCACTATGAAGTAAGGCAGCCACTGCCTGTTCTGCTCCCCACTCTGTCTCTGGTGAATCCTCCCAGCCCCTGTACCTCTGGCCTGTACACAGTTCTGTATGTATAAATAAATAAATCTTTTTTAAAAAATAAAATAAATAAAGGAAAGGAGATTGCCAAAGATAAAGTGGGATACTTCATAATACTAAATCATCAAGAAAATGTAATCACAAATATATATGCACTGAATAGTAAAGTTTCAAAATATGTAAATAAAATGTGACAAAACTAATGAGAAAAACGGACAGCTCTACCAGTACAAATACACATATATATATTTAAAGATTTATTTACTATGCACACAGAACAGGGGTACAGGTCAGGGGTGCAGGGGCCATGAGAGGATTCACCAGAGACAGAGTGGGGAGCAGAACAGGCCGACAGAGGGAAGTACACTGCTGAGGGAACCAGCGGGCAGGTCAGGAGAAGTCTGCTGCGCCATATGGTCACCTCCAGGGGAGGGGATCGAATTCATGCTGAAGAGGCTTTAGCTTCTTAGTGCTGTGCTTTAACCCACTGCGCAGGTTAGGGAGGGCCCACTTATATTTTTTATTGGTCACCCCACCCCCAGATGTGATATTTTTTACCATTTTTCCTGGGGTTATCTATCCTCACTGGCAACCCCCTCCATGGGTCATCACCAGTAACATTTTATGGCTGCTGCTACTGGTTATACTCCCCCCAACTCCCAAGCCTTGCCTGAGCTCCCTGATAAATTGCAGTGCTTCTTAGGGCCTGCCCTCACATTAGGTCTTTTCCTGTGGGACCTGCCAAAGTGCTCTGCCTTTGAGATTCCTATATAAGTCATTCTGTCCTCAGGTGTGAGTTCTGCAGAGGCCAGAACCCTATCAGGTTTTGTCTGTCTTTGTATTCTCCAGCCCCTAGCTTAGAGCCTGGGGTCCAGTATTTGTTCAGCAACTGTTTCATGAAGGAGTAGGTCCCAGGCTTCATGTCCAGGTTCAGCATGTCAGATATTCCCCTGGAAGTGACTCTTAGAGAAACTCAATTCGTCCCCCTACCCCAGTAGTCAGAACTGAGGACTGACTAGCATGTGTCCTGTGTTAACCCAGGACAGCCTCATAAAGCATACACTCTCTTCTCTCTGTGTTCCATCTGCGGTCACAAACTCCAGCCCAGCCCGACAGACAGCACCGCTCCACCTTGTAACAGCTGCTGTCATCTTCCTGTCTCCACCTTTAGGCAGACTGTCCAGGCAGGTGTGGCCTCATGTGTTGATGTTGCCCCTAGAAGTCACTACAGTTACTCTCTGGAAGGTTAGCAAGTCGTGTCGTGACCAGAGCCGGCAGGGGGTCAGTGGGAGGAAGAAGCCTATTTGTGGGAACAACCCCCCACCCCCAACCCGCTCTCTCCCTCCCTCCCCCCAAGCCCAGGGCATACACATCCTGGGCTCCGACCCTTCCACAGTACTGACGCGGGGCGTCCCGAGCTTACAGAATGGAGGTCACCTCCCAAGACACACAGCTGAGCAACAGCGGTGACAGGGGAGGAACCCAGCTCCACCAAGTGCAGAACTCCGTCTCTCTGGAAAGCCAGTTCTCGAGACCGCCGCGGGAAGTTGGCAGCCTCTGCCGTTCCCCCACATTAGATTCTGTGTAGATGAGGAAGAGGAGGAGGACCCAGGAGCTACCTCCTGTTCGACACAATAGTAGGCATGTAATGGTAACAGTATTAATAGTCAGCCCGCGCAGGGCGGGCTCTGGGGCAGAGGGCAGCCAGGCGCGGACAGAGCGGGCAGCACCGGAGCAAGGGACGCGCCCTCCCCTGGCGCCTGCGCACCGCGGCCAGCTCCCCGCTCTGCCCCGCCCCAGTTGCCTGGGTTTTCAAATTTGAAACCTGCTCCTTTTCCCGCCCGAACGGGCGGACCAGCCGCGGGAGAGGGCGGGGCCCTTCGCAACCAATAGCGCCTCAGAGGCCCCCGGCCCCGCCCCGAGAGGACGCCCGCACGGCGCTAGCGGCCGCGGGAGAATGGACCCGGCACCCCGCCGCCCCGCCCCCGCGGGCCACGCTCGCTTCAGCCGAACCCGGGGCCTCCCGGACACCGCAGGCCCCGAAATCACCTTTTGATGTGTGGGACCCCAGCCGGCAGCGCCGGGCTGGAAATTGGGATCTAGAAGTGCCAAGGCGCGGGGCCGCTGGCAGGGCGGGCGAAACGCAGCACCCGCGGGCCCGCACGGTGCGGGGCGGCTAGCCCTCGGCTCCGGCAGGAGCTG